AGCGCACCTTGGGGTGCTTACACACATTATTAGAAATGGGCTAGTCCAGGTGCGAGAATTAGCCTAGAATAGGCTAGATAGAAATGGGCCAAGCAGTCTTTAAATGAATACAGTTTGTGTGTTGTTATTTCGGGCATAAGCTAGCAGGCGGCCGGGGTGCTGGGGACGCAGCCCCGCCGCACTTATCACTACAGGGTCAGGCTTGGTGACAAGATCGTTTACACTGAGTCTTCTGGCTGTCCCAGTTCTGCTGCTTGACTGTGGATTTGATGTGACCAGTTCCCTCTAGCTGCTGCCACCTTGGATTCTTGACAGACTGTGATCTGAAAATGTGAGCAAAACTCCCTCCTTCCTTACGTGGTGATGCCAGAGTATTTTAGCACAGCACAGAAAACTAACACACTAGTGTGAAGATCCCGTCCTTAGGTGCCTCTAGTGGCAAAGAGAAAAGACCATTGGTACCAGCAGGGTCTCTCTGTGAGTGAGAAGCACACTAGATGCACCCACCCTGACCACTTGACTCAATCCCAGAACCCAGGTACAGCTGGAAAGAGCGCTGTGCCCATGAAGCTGTCCCATGACCGCCACACCTAGGCCATAACTTGTGCATTCCTGCATAAACACGGTGGTGGAAACATGACATTCTTAAAGTGTCTTTGGCTCTATCTTGCTATCTGCCCAGCAGCTAACCTGTGGTCAGACCACCTGAAAAAGCTCCCTAGAGGTCATGAGGGCTCAACTAACCACAGCAAACCATAAGATGATTGCTTGGTCAGTATGTCTTCAAGGAAAATGGGTTCCAAGTTCAAAGAAAGGAAGTGGTCCCTGCCCAAATTGAGTCCCTGGTGCTTCGCTTCCAGCAGTAATGGAGCCCAGGAAGTCAGCAAAGGCTCAGTGGAGGGCAGCTGTCAGGAGGAGGCCTCTCCACTTTGAGTCCTGCTAGGATTCTGCTCACTGCTCCAGGGCACAGTCCCAGCCCTGAGCTTTCACACCCAGTGCCCAGGGTCACAGCTCAGTCCCAGGGGGCAGGGAGCTGAGATACTGTAATGGGATGTGGTATCAGATTGCAGTCTCTGCATATTTTGGATTCAACTGGAA